GTTGGGTACATGATTTGATCGAAATCGGGTACTTTTTGTGTAAAGAACGAGAACATAAGGTTCACACAGCATAGTCTTTATGTGACTTTATATACTAAGAGCAAAAGCAGAGTGCAGGCGTTAGTTGCAAATGTTTCTCTAATCTATACATATAATAAATTGTACATTTGATATTTTTTGGAAAATCCTATTAAAATAAACATTATTATCGATACAGAGGCCGAATCTATAGTTTGTCTGTCTGTTTGTCTGTTACCGCATCACAGAAAAACCACTGGAGGGATTTTGATGAAATTTAGTATGGTGATAGCTGGTTATCATATAGGATACTGTTTACTGCGGGAAAATTTCTTATTTCTGAGAAAAAATACAAAAACTGCAATGTAAGAGTATACTAATATGTAAAACCTAAGGATTTGTTTTTTGGTTATCTGAACGCGGGCGGAGCCGCGGGCAATGCTAGTAGCAAATATATTCTAACTATTTATAGTTTATACAGCGCATAGTTGCTGTGTACTATTTAGGTTGCGGTTTTATAATCGCAATATTACATGGCGTTTTATTTTTAGTGGTTTATTTTTGAGGTCCTATTAAGGCGACATAAGAAACCGCAAAGCGTGCTCGTTCTTGAGAACAGCAATAATTGTCCTTTGTAGGCACTGATTCATTGCATCTATTTGAGATGAGCTTACTATGCTGTTGTCGAACACGTGACACGTAAGTGATGTTTTATGAGTCATAATTTTGTGGGAATATTTTAAAAGGGAATTGTGTAACATTTTGTTAGGTGGTCTGTATGTAGAAGTTTAAATGCGGTTTTTATTAATTAGAGTAAGTACATTTAATTACTTCAGATGTTTTTCGGAACATTAAATATTTTAATTTTTCTTATTAAAAGACTAAGCCAGGATAATTATTTAGTCTTTATTTATAAACTCAAGCCTTTAAAAACTATTTTTACATTTGTTTTCCATATAGTAATATATCACCTATATTTTTGTACATCTATTCGTAAATTATTTTTATACCTACCAGAAAATCTGCGATATATTATGATATATTTTATGCCTAGTTAAGCCTACAACTTATTTACGCCTTGCCAAGCCTTGAGAATAATGCGCAACGAAATTCGAGATGTTATTAAAATGTGAATTTAGTATCGCGAATTCGTGTTATCTAAGTTGACAATAGTGACATGGCTCATAATACAATTTTAACACCTCCAGGTAAATTTCTAAGAAATTAATTAAATTTCTAAGAAACCTATTGTTAACTGACACGCCGGCGTGTCAGCGGTCGTAGAGCGAATATGATGCTAAATAGATTGTGAATTGAGTTCCATTGTTGTTCAAACTAGTTTCATAAAATTCGTTTCATCGTAACTCGTTTCGTAATTTACATTAGTTAATATGGCTAAAGCGTTGTGTTTTTGAAGAATTATTTAGTTAGTTATTTTAAGTTATTGAAGAAGTAATAACAATTGTTAAAAGCCTCAAAGTGATAAATAACTGGTGAATAAATTTACATCTATAACTTTAATGTGATATTCATTAAAGTTGCAATTTTGCAACTCTTTACATATTTATATTTAAATATGGATGTAGACCTGCATAAACACTCGTTCAGTAATCAGTACTGTAATTCATATCAGTATCGACATTTTGCAGCCTCAGGACGCATTGAGGCGCCTACTCGTTCGCATTCTGCAGTAATAACTTGTGATCACACATAGATCTTAAATAACATGCTAAAAAGTAGCCCTCGTTATTTCCAGTAGAATCTATAGAAATACGCAGCAATCAATAATTATGATTTGTATCATGTATGTGAGTCAATTTTCAGTAAAAAAAATTTTTTTTAGTCTATGTTCTATTTTAGTTAAACATATATAATGAGAGTTTAAGGCTTGCCCGATACATTTTTCGTGTCTTACATTTTACTTTAATAAGCGTCCAAATAAAATTAAACACGTCTTATTTTATTGGTATTAGGTGTCTCAGCAACAACACCTATCTAACCTTTGCCCCATGGTGGGATAGTTACAATACATGTCTCCATTTTTAAGGACGCTCTGGATTGCATGGGAACCATCTGTATCCTTATCTGGCGTTGTATCAAAGTGTCGCCTATTATCTTGGTTTCGACCACTTTCCAAGCTTGTGGCACCGACGTGTACGTACGTTCCTACCATGATGGATGCGTTAGAATCATGTATGTGAGGTCCCACGTGTAAGAGGTGAAACTATGGTTTTAGATATGATTATTATTGAAGCAATATAAAAGGACTGAACAATGTCATTTAAAAAAATATCGTAAATGTTTAAAAATTTTATATTTATGAAGTTAAACGATAGAGAGTAGAGAGAAAATGATAAAAAAAAGGTTAGTGATAAAACATAAAATACATATATCATAAGTAAATAATGTATAAAGAAAAGGTAAAGGACCTATTTTTTTTACAAAAAAACTTTTTGTGTTAAGTTCCACTTGCCAATAGTGTTGTTTATAAAAATAAAATTCTGAAAAGTAATTATATACGGCAATTAATCTGTATATTTATTGTATAAACAGTACTATTCATTAGCAACAATATTACGTGCACATATCGTTCCGCTCAATTTTATTTATATCGCAAATAAAAAATTTAAACGATTATTTCTTATGGAGTTTTACATCGAGGTCCTTAATATTTGCCATTTTATTTTTATTAGGGTGCGTGTTTCATTTATAAAAAGACCTCACACACTCAGTGACTGATTGGTTATCTTGGATTACGAATTGGAGATCGCGCTTTGATAACGTATGGTATTGAATATTGCTATATGATATCATATAAAGTTTCGCGCACGCAAAGAGGTAGTAGAGGAAGGTGTGATAGCCGTAACCGTTGTTAAAGGTTATAATAATTGCAGCGACGTCCCTTGCACTTACATAAATTTTCCAGTAACGCCACGCAGTGGCACTGCGGTTGCCGCATGAAAAATACCCGGATTATAACTCGGGAGCGATCCACCGAACAGATAACGCCGCTAGATATAAATTATCTCACAAACGTAAGACGCAACTAATATTAAATAAGAAAGCATGTAATTCACGTTGGTTCGATCTGCCCGGCCGAGCAATAAAATACACAATTCTGACAGATTTTAAATAATGACGTCCGTGTACTTGCCCAGGAAATGCTTAGAAAGTTTAATATAAAGTTTGGCCTTAAAGTGGTCCAATCTCAATGTTGATCTCCATAGTGAAATGTAATAATTTTAAAAGATATATTATTTTTTTAGCTTTTTCGGCTTAAAAAGATAAATGATCCAAGTAACTGGTACAGGATCTAAAATACAATTATATTAATTGTAGTTCGTGACAAAGTGTAATATAGTAAGAAATAAATAAGTAAATCTAATTTTTCCTATCATAAATACAAATCATCATAATAATATCTTTGAATTAGAATACTATATTTGGAAAATTAGTCTAATAACATTAATTATTAGAAATATGCAGTTGGTTTACATATACGCACGTAATAATGTTATAATACTAGCATCAAGTAGGTATGTAAACCCATCTTGTTTAGTGAAGTCACTGAGTAATGAATTGCCTGCTTAAACATAAGAAAACTTAAACCAACAAAAATATATATTAAAATCTGTGTTAAAACCATGGTTTAAAGATTTATGGATGTAAAATTGGTGTGTTGTTGTGTATTCATTTAACAACAACATTTAGAAGATCCAGAGTCGTCGTGACGTTAAGATAGAAATTAAAATTTACGCAATACGGAAACTCGTTTTCTATGAATTTGTTGAATCGTGACTTTATGCATAATTAAATTGTTTGCTCTTTGGCGCCAGTCGCCACACGTCGCGGATAGTTTCGTTTTGTAAATCTTATTGGAGTAAATAAAAAATCCTTAGAAGTGTTTGTTAATCATCTTTTGTTTATACCCTCTTACCTCAACGTTTATCAAGTTTTGTGTTATTATTTGATATATCAATAATTAAATTTATATTCTCTTAAATAGGTATAATATTTTTAAATGATAGATCAGGTTCAAAAAGAAATAGTAGTAACGATTAAGACTAAAATATAGCTTTTGTTGGCATCGTAATTCTCTGTTTTGCATGTTCATTTGCACCATTTGATGCGGGAATGAACAGCATAATGCTAGCTTGAATACTGTCGCTCGAGGGGAGACCGTAACAACATTACTAAACGATGGCGCTAAGCTAGGCGACAAGAGTCTACAATTTTACATGACAAGGCTCAATCATCACAGCGCCCTTAGACCACTTATCAAACTAATCATTAACACGCCAGGGGATTTATTTATCACCATAGAAATTCCAAGCGAAATCATCAATTTGCTTCATTAGACCACCCTTGCAAGTCATTTTAGAGAACATTCCAAACGGTGTTCGAATATTCTTCTACCGCTATATTAAAAGACATTTGTTATGATGAAAATAAACATAATTCACCAAATAGGCAGAAGTGCAATCCAATGGTCGGCAGAAACGCCTTGTAATTCTGGGACGCCCACTGATCATGCGGTTTTAGGTGTAAAAAAATCGATTAAAGTATGGCGACACGCTGGGATCGATACATGATAATATTTCATTTTGGACAGTCGCGCCGTAGTTTTAACATTTTTGTGAATTACAAATAAATATTATGCGACTGTGCTTATGTTGTTACATATCGTTTTACATCGTCGCCAAGTTTTATTGATATTTCACTATTAGGAACAAGGTATTATGGAGTGTTGGAATGCAATAAAATTAAATGGTGATCGGCTTTTATTTTTGAATTATCCATTAAAGATCATTGGCGCTTGTTCATATTTATACTTGTCGTGTTTTTATTAGTACTTCTATTAATATTAAGTTTATGTAGCAACATGCGTTTAGTATTTACTTTGATTATTATTGTCTGTCCTGTGGTTATTATTAGTTAACACGCGGGATGCCTTTATTTATATTAATATTTTTCTGTTTCAGATTTGTATCGACTGTAGATGAGTTTCTTATAAAAGATAAAGGTAAAGCTATTCATATATTCAGTACACCATAATAAGTTTTAGAATTGAAATTAGTAGACACTTTTTAGTTGAAATTGCTTTAATTCTTACACTATAATTGTAGGAAATTAACAAAGTGTAGACACTAAACAAATAGATAGATACAAATATCCCAAATTTGTTCAATTTGCTAAGTAAAATAATCATAAAGATTTGTTTATTCTTTATCTAAGATGGAAATCTCACGAATGGCAATATGGAAGTAGGTTTTGTAAACTTTGATGTAGGTACAATTCACAAAGAAAAGTCTTGCGTGGGAGACACGTTCCGGTGAGGTGTTAATGCATGCCCATTGCCTAATTGTATTACTTTACGAGACCACCATAAAGAGTGTCATTGAGCTAGCGTTTATAGCCACTAATTGTTATTCTATTGTTACCGTCTCAAAATACATAGTTATCACAAACACTATACTATACAAAAGACGATACTCATATATTTTACCAATACCTCGAAGTTGTAAACATATATTAAGCAGTGGTAGTAGAACCGATTTATTTCTCTAAGTATAGAAAGTTTCCTTTCCATTTGTTATTTTTAGATACGATGGGACTGACATGTTCGAAAAGGATAAAAGTCCCTGAATAAAATAGAGATAAAAAAAATTACTTGAGAAATTCAGATATATTCTATTTTTTTATTGTGCTATTTACTATAATTTACTATATAAAATATTTTATAAATAAATATCAAATCCATTTTCTACTTCTGCGTAAAATATTTTTTTTCTTCATTTACATTTCAAATCCGTTTTTTCTTTTAAGACTGTTCAAGAATGTTCTTTCATGGGGTTGAAAGTACATTCGTATTAATAAAAAGCGGTTCATCCGTAAAGCAAACAGAAAGATGGAGAGGTTACTTTTATTTTTATGACATTATAAATTTATGTATGACCATACCCGCTTAATATTGAAATGAAATGAAACAGAAGTATTCGTATTTCTTTCCACGTAATTTCTAAGTCGATATAACTTTTTACTTAAAGGACAATTATTTTAATTAACTTGTAAAAAAGAAAGTATCGCAATTTCTAATTAAAAGGCTTAACCAAAACGTATAAGCTCTATACATAAAGTTGTATTTGTAAGAGTAATCGCCATTAAACCATTAATTGTATTAGTAAAATAAAAGTCATTAATCTTGTCCATCTCATTTGCCCTATTAATCTGTTACGTAATGAGATCATCAAAATTATTTAAAAGCTTATCAGTAATGCTAGACACAACATACGATTTCAATTAAAGATCGCTTCGATTTTGACTTGGAATGTATAACGTGTTTATTACATGAAGAGCCTTAGTGACACCTCACTTGCTATTCGATGAAAGCTGCGCTGGGGTTCTCGTGGTATTGGTTTGTCAATAAGTCATAGCAATCAAAACGAGTAAGTTTGGTCTACACGTCCGAGATTATCGTCAGCCACACATTTAACTACACTGACACAATTCGGAGTTATCGTCGAACTTCTCACGGTGCCGACTCAATATTCTGAATGTTCATTAAGTTCTAATTACGTATGAGCGCCCTTGTTTGTATCGATCACAAAAACTAGCTTTTATTAGATTACGTGGGTAGTTTCGATTAATTGTGAGCATACTCATATCTGTCGGCATTTTCATTGGTAATGGCCAGTTATCGGTGTCGCTAAGTAGATTGAGTGAGATGTGTATTATACGAGGCTGGTTTTCCTTAGCTAGCGCCAGTTTTAGAAAAATAGGCCGACTCCTCTTCCATCGTTTGATCTGTTTAATTAATAAGATAAAATTGTTGTTACTGACCTAATTAATATTGTTTTGTAGATATGCTGACTTCTTATTAATCTTTATTTCTCTATGTGTTTGGAATATAATCATTGTTGCAAAGATACATTAATAATTATAAAAAAATATATCTTACACAATCATGTAATAAATAATAATTTAAAAGTGATACACTACTTTCTAGATTTACGCGAATGTTTGATATTTTAAATAAACCTTAACGTCGGGAACCAATAATCAAAGTAAATTCCCGAAATAATCCGAAAAGATAGTTGTATTTGAAATTTAAAAGTGATTTATTAATATAAATAAATGGAAACGAATAAAACTTGGTAAAATTATAACATCATAAATATTTGTGTTTATACTTTATACTTGTTATTGCAAAGTCCACAATAAGTGCGATGGGAAGTTCAAAGAAAGTGTCATATATGTTTACATTGAAATAGGAGGTGGCGCTCGGCTCGGTAATGCGACGATATTCATATTTCACGCGCTATCGCACGCGAATCGCGCTCGTGTCCTGATTTACACGATATCGAGGTGCGGGGAATGTTCTACACTCGCTACCGTTCGTTTCACCTGGGGTGGTCTCTGTATTCGCAAAAATGTTACTTATTCGCTTTCGCATATAAATTTCTATGTATGTAAATATTACGTATTGTCAATTTTAGAATTTTAGTCAGTCTGGCTGCTTCATTTTACACCGGAAATGACTAGACAGGTTTTAAAGGAGACGGATTTTAATTACAAAAAGAGATATTATTAAATATATTAAGATATATAAACAGCAATGGACGGAGCTGCAAGCAGTAGCTTGTTTTTAAACATTTTGATGTTTATTCATACTAAATTATAGATATTATATTACCTAAATGCACATCTATGAACATATTTACACAATGTCTATAAAATAAAATGAATAATATGATATTTTAAAATATTTGACGCGTGTGGCAGTTGTTGTCACATCTCTTGCCATTGCCAATGATTAACGAAGGAAAGTGCTGTTATAGACAGATGACTTGCTTCTTACAGAATTTGATTTAATGTTTTTGTTTTGTAGTAAATATTGTTTGTTTTATATATAATTATGCTACTTGCAGCATAGATAATCGTATACTACGCATTTTCTAAAGTTATTTTGCTGACTTCAAAAGATAGAAAGATTTGTTTGTTGAGAGTTCACTTTCTAAGTTTGTTGGTATAAGATCTGAAAATATCGTTGCATTTGAAGCAGTACATTTTGTTCAAACATAAAATTTGTAGACAAAGTTGCACTCTGCGCTAAGGGGGACACGGTGACAAATGTCGCTGAGATACTACTATTGGGAACGTGATAACGTACGTTAAAAGATATAAATTTGTGACATATGGCAATAAAATAAATACAAATGATAACAACCAATAATATTTTGTGGAGGTATTTTTATTTTGGAAAAGGAATGTTTTAAATGGCATTATGTAACACAAATATTTTCTCGTCGGTGCATCATAAAAATACTGAACGACACATCGTGTACTGCAACAGTTATCTTTTAAATACCTAATCAGTCAACATCTCATCTCGGCCCACGCGCGGCGCCAAGGAATGAGGCAATGCAACGAGTTAGAGGCACAATTAGTAGAGCTGGTTTAGTGGACAAATTTTGGGTTATTGTTTACTTTGTTATTTCAGAGGTTCATAAGAACAATTCTTACGTAATCCTAAGGGATAAGGATAAGAAGTAGCATGGGAAGGATCGTCATATCATAATCAAAAATGTGTGTGGCAGTCTTAATAAGCCGATTACAATGTAAGGAGGTCGGCGCGTGGGCGTGCCATCTCGTATCGACATCGACTTGTCTCATTCACAATGCACTGATTGTCGTCAATCGATCCGCAATAAGATGCACCTATCTGTACACGATGCGACGCGACTGAGATATAATCGATTGAAAATTAAGGCCTTACAATCTATGGAAAGACCAATGTCTTAACTTTTTTTACATTTTTTTTTATAAATAGAGATTTTAGTTTAACTAATTCTTTTGAAAAATATTATTCGCGATTATCATAAAAACCTAACAAAAAGAAATGCTTTCTTAAAGTTCGTTTTAAACATTATCTTTCTAAATCCATCAACATTTTTCTTTTTATTAGAATATTTTTTTATTGCGTTCAGTCTATATAGATTTTATCTCTATGGATGAAACTTCTTTTACGCAATAATGAGATACATCACAATGATTGTTATTATAATTACGTACGCCCATTTTTATACCTTTTGTGTATCTGCTTTATTGATTTTTATCAAAGTTTATTTGTTATTTTTTATCACATAAAATACAAAATGTTATATGTAAGTACATTTTAGTTTCTAACAGTGGCACTTAATTTTATTTACTTACTCTTTTGTACAATTTTATTAAGATCCGCAGTATCGAAAAAAAGCTAATTTATCAGCGATATAATGAACAAGTTGTGTTGAGTACCTGCCTTGCAATTATCATATATTGTTTGTTTCTGTAATTGAATGCGGAGTCGGCCGTTAATTAAGTTGCGAAAGCCTCTCTTGATGGATTGTTGTAAATGTAAATGTTTTTTTTGTTTATGTTCGAGCCGAGTTGGCATGAATTTGCATGTGTAATGTCTCAAATACATTACGTCGTCTCGACGTGGGAATTCTGCGTTTGTTAAGATGTTTTTGTTTCTCCAGTTGTGTCTCGTGCTAAGGAGCGGTTTACGAGGATAACCGTTTTAAAATTGCGTGATACTTTTCCAATGAGATGTAATGGCTAGATATTTATTATACTTTTAGTTTAATTGGATATTTAAACTTCATTTTAGACCTAATTTTTTTTATTTTGTTTTATTTTAAAGTTAAACCTAAATTTTAGTGGTATATAATTAGGTGTGAATCTTTCGTACTACTTGAAAGGTCTTCCTGAGGAAGCGTCAAACCACGGCCATGGTTTCCGCTCACCCTGTTCACCCCTTTCCTTTGTGGGGTGTATTGGGGTGGGAGGGGTAGGAGTCAACGACCCCCGTCCGATGTTTGCGGTGCGATTTTGAAGACACAAACATGAGCTCGTCGCTTATTTTTCCGAAGACCATTTTAGTTATTGATCGGACATTGTCTTATAATTCAACTGCAGATAGTATTTTGTAAAGTGATTTGGTGGTTGATTGTTTGTTTTCAAAAGTATTTGATGTACTACTTTCATTCGTTAGTGTTTGAACAGGTTTCTTATATTGGCCTATTTAGTTTAGAATAAAATTATATACCCATAGAAGATATGATATTATAAAGTACTAGCGATTCACCCTCGCTTCGCTCGGGTTCGTCCCTAGCTTGCTTCCCCGTACAAACTTACATCCCCATTCTCACCCTCATAAGGGGTGATTTCCGGGATAAAAACTATTTCACTCACTCACTTTTCATATCATGAGATTAAAAAAAAACTTATTTAAATAAAATAAAAACTTTTAATTTTTTTCTATACACAGCTTGTCCCGACAATAACAAACACAAAAAAAACACACAAACACAAAAATATCCAATTTGGTGCTGTCGAACGGAAGTTATGCGCGTACATACATTTCGGCGATTCATTTCTATTTATATTGTAGATAGATGAATCGGTTTTATACTAATTAACATATTAAGACGGGTTTGTTATTCTGAATAAATAGATCAACGCTAATTTACATCTTATTCCCTGGTGTTACATGTTTGACAGAATAATTAAAATAATAATATAATCATGTTTTTAGATTCCCTGGTTGGAGTCCATTGCACGCATGGTTTGAATCGAACCGGGTACATGGTGTGTCGCTACATGCGGGATCGTCTCGGTATACCGGCAAAGGAAGCTATAAGAAGTAAGTAGGTACAGTCCTATCCTAGCCCACGAACACTTAATAAATTTTAACAATTTAATTTTTACTTTACAGGGTTTGAAATAGCGAGGGGCTATCAAATTGAACGAAATAATTATATTGCAGATCTAATAGGTAAAGCACCGCCGCCGCCCGATCTAGGAAAACATACTGTATTAAAACCTGTACGTAATGAAAATGGTACAAAATCCAAGAATTATATGGGAAAGGGACGCAATCGTAACAATTCAGACACGAGTCAATCATCATACGAGTTTGATTATAAATATGATTATTAATAAATACACAAATAAAAGTGCCTATTGATTTTTAATTCTGCAACATTCAATGCAATAAAAGTCAAATGCAATAATATGATTTTTAACTGTTGTAAATACTTAGAATTTGGGGCATTTCACGTCAAGCGGACAAGGAAAAAAGTGAGGTTCGGATATTCGTTCATATTAGGCATATTTGAACCTCTATCGGATATGAACATGTACACATATTTTTTTATTTGAGGTTTAGTTGTTAAATTGTGGGATTCTAAAGAATTGATGAGATTGAAGGAAGGGTTTATTTGGATTATTTTTTCATATTGAAGTAATTAATAATAAAATAAATGTAGTGTTTTGTATGGAAAATTTACTGTTCTTTTTTGTTTTTTAATCAGATTCCAAATTTGAATTATTTTCCTAGCGTTAAACCGGAAGTAAATATTTTAAATAAAAATTTTAATAACTTCGACCATTTTGATTTTTATTTTTTCGTTGTCCGCTTCACGTGAAATGTTTCACTTGTAACATTGAACAATAGTAGATAATCAAATATTATATTTCGATATATTCATAAAATGAATTCTGGACATTGTTATTTATGTTTAAATTAAACGTTTATATAAATTTTTGTTGTTTTATGCTCCAATTTATTATCGCTATCCCACTAACATTATAAATACGAAAGTTCGAGAGATTGTATTTGTTTTTCACTCTGTAACGTCTGAATGGATTTGAGTGAAATTCGGGATGGAGAGCTTATGTCCTGGAATAACATAATAAGTCCACCGTTTCTAATTAATTTTATTGTATGTTAATTTCGTTATTTTACATATAAGTGTATTAGAGAATAGTATATTTTTTTTATTGTCGCTCGACAAGATGACTCCATGACGCCTGATAAGGTAAGCGACAGTGGAATCCAGAATGAGATCCATCGGTTCCGGGACTTAATCTCGATTCCGATCAACCTCACCTCGTCGGCCTGCAAATGTGCTTTTTCACGCTCCGTTTAATCGACCCAGGATTATAGGAAGAGGGAAACACGTGAGACGGTAATGAATTCCATTTCCTAATAGTGCGGCACAGGTAGGAGCTGCCAAACCTTTTGGTACGGGAAGGTATGGGTAGTACCGTGTGAGGATGGAATTTCCGACCAGCACGTGTGGTTTTGGAGACGAAAGGAGAGGAGGGTATAAGTTGGAAAGATAGTCGCTAGTATATAACATATAGACTATTATCGATTTATGAAGCCAGCGGAGCACCTAGTAAAAACTAGTAAATGATATATTGATAATTTTGCAGAAGAAGCCTATCTATACTTCTACTAATATGATTTGTGAAGGTGAGTTTGTTAGTTGATAATCTTCATGATTTTTTTATTTTAGATAAATTGTGTAACGTGGGTTGAGAATACTTCTTACGGTATATTATGTAGTAGGACAAAAAGCAACAATAATGCATGAACTAGAGGATGTCTAAAATGTACACAAATATTTCATCACTACGTACCAATTCCAGGTAGATTAAAGTAAGTTAAAAGACATTATTTTTAAAGTCAAATTTTTTCATCTTAAGATATAAGAAGTAAGTCATGAGAATAAGTCTAATTATGGTGAAATTGGTTGGATCACGTATAGTGACGTGAATAGCTCGCACGTGCTTGATATTATCGAGTTGGCTTTGAGATTGGGTGAAGGTATGCTGCGGGCATATGTGTCATATCTATGGTCAGCATAGGAAATATGAAAAGGGTATTTCAAAAAAATATATTATGATCGATGAATATATTTTGTATTGAATATAAATAATTAATCAGTCTACTAAACCATATAGCCATCAATCGAAGGTGTCCAGACATTGTGCGGGGAGTGCGAGGTGAGACGCGGATGAGAAACATTCGACTGTCATACATACTTCTATATGACGGTTGTAACAGTGCTGTAAATTCTATGCCGTCTGCCATGAAAATTGGTATTTTTTGACCAACCTTTTATGTGGTGATCGCCTACTGTATAGAGTTTTAATATGCTATTAATATAAGACTAATATGGAGCAGTGTTGCTAGTAGTTGTGAGTTGCCACTGGTCTACATAGTTTGAGATTGTGAGTTCAATTTTTGGTGTAAGTTAGCTGAAATAAGAAGATATTTAAAGTAAATAATCAAATTAAAAGAATTAAAGGACGACGCTTACTCGAAAAATTAAGTAAAAACATTCTTACTCATATTTATGGAATATAACTAGTAATATTTCTTATTATGCATTGGTAAAGGGTAAAAATGTAAAAATGCTAAAAGTATTTTAAGTATGTAAATCACCCTAAATAGCCTAATAGTATTTGATAATAATAATAAATAAATTAATTGGGACATTAACACACAGCACCGTCTAGTTCCATGGTAAGCTACGAGGACTGTTATGGATACCAGATAGTTGATACACTACACATATACAACTTTTAAATACATACATATTATAAGTATATAAACACTCATGAATGGAGTACAAACATTCGTGCTCATCACACAAATGATTGTACTCCATTCATGAGTGACCCCCAGGGTGACTCGAACCCGCGACTGCTGGCACAGCAAGTAGGGCCATTACAAACTATGCCAAACGTGTCGTCAAACTCTACTTCTCTACTTTGCACTGATACGTCATATATGTACCTACCGCAGGTATAATTTTTTTATTAAAATATACTATATACATATATTCTTTACGTAGGTACATATATTTTTTTAAATTTATAATCTCTTATTTTAATACAGCAGCTAAGTACTTTCTTTATTATTCAAGACAGTAAGAGCTAAATAAATACTTACCTATATACACTTATAAAAATAAAATATGTAAGTCAATTATAAAAATAATTTCGAAATGCGAAGAGATGCGATTACATCTCCAGGGCTATTTATTAAACAAAGCCTCTGTTAATGATGTGCGCAATGAAGTCGATTTTCTCTACCTGTTCTGATGCCCTTAAGATTGTGCTTACGAAATGTCCCGTGGAAGAATCTGGGTGCTCTTATTTGGATAATTATTGTTGCCTTATGACAATCATATGTAAATAATTGTCTCTGAAAATCGGTAAATATAACGAGTGTTTTTAATTATTATAGATACATTAATTTATATATGGCAATTTACTTATAGTGAATGTTAATTTTAAAAATAATATATGGTACACAGGGGCGGACCTTGAATTTGGAGTGCTCTCTAGGCTTAATATTTCTTGGGGACCTAAAATAATTGTCATGTTATCTTTACAAAATCTGTAACGATAGATATATGTATAGACCTTTGATTATACATTATATAATCAAAGGTATAGATGAAATTTAGATAATGCTATTTTTTGGTTTTTAATTGATTGAATAAATAATTGATCTCAGGGTTATTCGACTTTTATATAATTTTTTATTCACTCTCAAGGTTTTTATATTTTTTTTTTATTTTATAAATTCATAATATTATCCATCCATCGTTAATATCTAATCTAATCTATATGTAGACTCGTCTCTGGGTCCTGGTGATATGCTTCTAGCACAATGGTAGAGACATTCGTTGCTTGAGATTAGTGGTTTCAAGAGGGCAGTAGTACAGAGTAAATGGCATAACGTATTTCCGATATTACTAATATGTTAAAGTGATTAAACATTAAAAAAGAATACTTTATAACTTCAAACTAGCGACTCACCCTCGCTCCGCTCGGGTTCGTCTCTACTTACGTTTTGACGTTTATATAGTATAGATTTCTCAGAAATGAGATATTTTCTCGCAATAAGAGGTATCCTATATGTTGACCCGGATAACCAGCTATCATCATACCAAATTTCATCAAAATCCGTCCAGTGGTTTTTCCGTGATGCGGTAACAGACAGACAGACAAAAATTGTAAAAACTTTCGGCCTCTGTATCGATAATAATGTCTATTTCAATAAGATTTTCCAAAAAAATATTTAATGTACAGATTCGGCTTAGAATTTTATTATATATTTAGTTAAATTTAAAATATACATCGAATTTGTTTTTATTTTTTGGATATTTAAAACATAAGACTATATAAAGTATAGCGTAGAAGTCGTAAAGGTTTTCTGAATTAAATAAGTCTCATTAAGTTACATTATAAAATTATAAAAAAAATATTTCACCTTTTAAACAAACAAATCGTGCAAAGATGAGAAGATACGAAAGCCCATGACAGTGTTTCACTTCCAGACCAAAGTGTGACTTATATCCTAGTATTTGTTCGGAGTTTTCTAGTACGCAGGTAACTCTGGCTTGTCTGATTTATTTGTTATCGATACGTGGTAGCTTTCACGAGTCGTCGCCTCTACTCGCATTTATTGCTCTATTGTTTGCCTCTCAGGCATAGATTGGGAACACCAAGTAATTTACTCCAAGGCACTTTACATTGTATTGGTTTCTGAAGGTATTGTAATGAATTGCAGTTTGTTTAAGTGGAAATTAAGTTTCAGAGCTTGTTACATATGAAAAATGTTATTATTGATCTCTTAACAAATTACGATATTCTCTTTTGACCATTGTTGAAATACTGTGTACAGAGGTTACCTCATCCAACGTTATGATCCGTTTTAGTTATAGCATCAATACTAATATTATAAATGTGAAAGTGTTTGTTTGTTTGTTTATTTGTTTGTCCTTCTTTCACGTCGAAACAGAGTGACGGATTGCCTTGATTTTTTGTGTGGTTGGAGAGCTGGAGAGTGACATAGGCTACTTTATATCGCGGGAGATTATGTTTATAATACAATCCACAACAACCCATTGTACCTATGTGTAAATAATTATATAGTTACCTATACTCGTACCATACTAACCGTTAAAACGTACCTTGGGACGAACCCGAGCGATGCGGGGTTGAGCCGCTAGTAAGTTTATGAATGCTTAGTACCTAATCGAATATGTAATCTTTTGCGTTGCAATGCGGATAGGTATATATAAGTAAGCCTTTGAACAGTTTTTTTTACTTAACATATAAATAATATTGTG